TGTTCTCACTCATAAGGTGACCTTGAACAATTATAATGCTATAAGAAAGCAACTGGCAGTTGAGGGAAACTTCTGGGGCAGGATACCTCATCAATAGAGGTACCTGCATGATCAGTGTTTGTAAACCTAACCCTGAACTGTACCCCACATCTTTATAATAAATAAATTTTAAAAAAAAGATGTGACAGAGAGGTATTTAGTGTTAAAATGCAGATATTCATGGCTTTTTTTTTTGAGTTTTCTTTTATTCAGGTTCATCCTTTTTTCTCTTTGTAACAATAAATTTTTTTTTTTTACTATAAAGATGTGGGGTACAATTCAGGGTTAGGTATACAAACGATTATGCAGGTACCCTTGCTGATGAGGTGTACCCCTCCCTCCCCTGGCAGTTTCCCTCAGCTGCCAATCCCACCCCGCCCCTGACAGTTTTTTACTACTGCCAATCCCTTTCTGGTAATTGTTCAAGTTCTGCTTATGAGTGAGAACATATGGTACTCTGTTCTTTGTATCTGTGATGGATCACCGAGTATGATCGGCTCTATATCCATCCAAGTTGCTGCAAAGTCCATAAGTTTGTCCTTCTTTCATGGCTGCATAATACTCCATTGTGCATATGTACCACATTTTTTTTATCCAGTCCAGCTTCGATGGGCAGCATGGTTGGTTCCATGTTTTTGCTGTTGTGCATAGAGCTGCAACAAACATGCATGTGCAGGTATCTTTTTTGTAGAATGATTTGAGTTCCTCCAAGTATATTCCCAATAGGGGAATTGTGGGTCATATGGAAGGTCTATTTCTAGTTCTTTCAGAAATTGCCACACTATCTTCCAAAGAGGTTGCACTAGTTTGCATTCCCACCAGCAATATAGAAGCGTTTTTTCTCTGCATCCTCGCCAGCATCTGTTGTTTGTTTTATTAATGATGGCCATTCCTACTGAGGTTAGGTGGTGTCTCAATGTGGTATAGATTTGCATTTCTCTGATGATGAGTGAAGCTGAGCACTGTTTCATGTGTCGGCTGCCCGAATATCTTCTTTTGAGACGTGTCTATCATGTATTTTGCATGAGTTATTTTAAACTGTTAGAAAACAGACATAAAATGGTTTTGAAGTTTCACACATTAATGAACCAGATATAATAGATTTTGATTAAATAAAGATATCATTTTTGTATGTTGATAGTTTTAATCACAGTACCATTTTTAACAACTTTAGTAGTGATGTCAAGAAGGTTGAAACTGCTACCTTGTAAATCAGAAGACTGGTGGGAAAAGTTAAAGACTTTGCCTTTTAAAAATTAGAAGGCATAGTTTTTAAAGAAAAGTTACTTTATAAGCTTGTTGAGCATAGTTAAAAGTTGCCAGTTATATATTCCTAAGTATCAAGAATTTTGTATGGTTCTTTCGTCACTGTACTTTCCTTATTTGTTGACAGCAAGAACATTCTGTACCTGAGGTAACAGTGGAAGATTCCGGTGAAAGCTTGGAAGACCTCATGGCCAAGATGAAGAACATATAGATAACAGACTGGCATATCTTTTATTTCTCGTGTTAAAGCCTGTTCCCTTGAAATTTAAAAACAAAAAATTTAAACTGATAAAACTTATGGCAGCTTTAGTTAATGTATCATCTTAACGGAATTCTTACACCTTTTGAAAATCCTGTGACTTACTTTTTGCCTGTCCAGCTAAATCATTAACTCTCCTAAAACGTGTGTGTCATTCTAATAAGCAAACTCAAAGAACTATTGTAGCAGTTACAAATCTTAGTGAAAACATGGCCATTGAAATGTTTTGGCTTTTTGGAAGCGGAGAAGGACCAATCTGATTCTGTATTCTTTTTCTTTCCATGAACAGTCAAGTGGTACATGAGCCTCAGACGGAGGGAGAAGGACAAGGCATACAGCCTATTGAGTAGATCTAGCAAGCATCTGCTCAGTGTATTTGGAATCAGTCTCTACAAGAAAATGTCCCACCACTGCTAACTTGACCAACAATGAATTTAAAATAGTTAAGCTATAAAATAACATCCTCTCAAATGTTTCCTG